CTCTCATTTTTTAAAAACAAGACTCGGGAACCAAAATTAGAGTCTCGGAACTTAAAATAATTTTTCCCAAATTTTTCTAAATTTTAAAATAATTTTTGGAAATAAGTTCAGGTCGAAAAATAGGTTTCCAGGACACAAAACGAAGTCAAATTTGGCAACTACACACTAATTGCCGCGGATTTGGGCCTGAGGTGCGCGGTCATTGGGCCCAAAGGGGGCTGGCCCAACACCCATAAGGGCTGAAGGCACTCGGGCCTCCACTGGGCCGGGACGTGGGCTCGCGGGCCTCCTGTGGTGACACAAGGAAGGGCCGCGCGCGGGCCTAATGCGGGCTAAGAAGCCCGCTCGCCTGGGGCTCCTACTTAATAAAAAAAAAAAATATTCTGCAGGGACTGGGGTTCGAACACGCGACTTCGTACACGGAAGAGTGGGCAGACAACCACTGCACCCCAACAACTAATCGGTATATTAAGGAAAACAAAATATACTAAGCTGAAGCTAGCAAACTGAACAGAAAACAGAAACTCAGAAAACAAAATCGAACAGAGCAGCAAGCTACGACAACATCTATAATTTCTGGGCAATCTGAGATCGAGGAAGAGTCTAGATTTACGAGAATAACAAGTTTTCAGAGTTCAAAAATAAATTTTGCAATCGGGTTTGCTCAGAAAACGAAAACGACCAAAAATAACACCAAATGAACGACGGGGCTCGAACGACCCGTACAATCTAATGATGGCTCCAAATGACAAGACGAGACTCCGAACTTAAATGATTTTATCACAACAATCTAACGATATTCATGTTTATGAAATCGAGAGTTCCAACCATTTCTGAACATCCACGAATAATCAACAAACAAAAACGAACTAAACAAAAATCCGATTTCAAATCAACTTTTGATAGATCGAACACAACATATATATATAACACGCGATATATGAAAACGACCATAATAACGAGAGGATTCGAATAATTTACCCGACTTCGGGAAACTACGAGTTATCGGACGGGAAATAGGCCCGACAGCGGGTCAGACAAACGGACAACACTTGAAGCTCGAAGCCTTCGAACGTGGGGACTGAAACCCGATGAACTGCTCGTGAACTGGACTGCTGCAGGGTCGACGATGGCGGAGCTGCTCGGATAACGACAGGAGATGGACCGTCTTGCCTCAAATAATGGCAGATGGCGGACGGGCTTCGCGGTTGCAGAAACCGGACTACGGCTCACGGTGGCTATGGTCTCTCGGGGCGGACGAAGGTGGCAAGCTCACAGCTTACAGGTGACGTGGCAGTTGGAATGAAACACCGGAAACAATGGTGGTCGTCGGATTATGCAGGCTTGCGATTTTTTTTTTTAAATAAAAAAACGATGAGCAGGCTGAGAGAACGGGAAAAAGGATGAACTAATTTGAATGATGCTGAGAGTAAACGATCCTCTGCCGAGATATAAGAATGATCGGGGTTATCGAACGTGCGAGGAAATCTTGCGAGGAAATCGCAACTGGTGAGAGACTCTTTCAACCTCACGTGCGGGAACCGGAAAAGGCTAAGCTATGCTTAATTGGGCCTTGGAATGTATGATTATTGGGCTAAAAAGGTACAAAACATTGGTCCAACAATATTAAATACAAAGGGCCAACTATATGGAGCCCCATTGGGTCGAATTCTCCAACGGCTCGACTTACGAATATTCGGGCTCGGTTCGATTGAACTGTTTGATAAAAAATTAACGGAAATACGCACAATAATATTAATAATAATAATAATAGGTATTTAAAACAATTAGACATTTAATAATAATAATAATAATAATAATAATAATAATAATAATAATAATAATAATAATAATAATAATAATAATAACCCGACACTTGGGCAGTTATCATTAGAGCATCATTATGTGGCCTTTCGACTTCGCCTATATCCGCTGGCCCAAAATTCATCATCGGACTGTTCTCATCGACTTGCTGCACCTCGGCTTTTCCGTGACGCCCTCGAGCATACGCCTTTCTGGCTCGATTTGAATCTCCGTTAGTCGGTCCTCCAATATCATATGAATCACCCCTCTCTTCTTGGGAAGCTCCTCCTTCTCGGGTGTTCTCGCCCTCTTGCGAGGGCTCCTACTTCTTTCCTTTCGTCGACTGGTCCTTTCTCTATCCTTGTAAATAAACTCCTTCAGATGGCCTGCCTTGATTAGCCTTTTAATCTCGTCCTTGAGGTGCCTGCAATCGTCAGTGTTGTGCCCATAGTCTTTGTGAAATCGACAATACAAATTGCTTTTGGGCCTTGTCGGCCCATCCTTTCTCGTCCGAGGCCATCTGACGACATTGTCGCGGATCTCTTTCTCCATTACTTCCAATATCCTCGCTTGCGGAGCCGACAAGGGGGTGTATTGAGTCGGCCTCCACCCTCTCGACCGCCCCTCCCTTTCTGCTCTCGGAGATCCTTTCTTTCTACCGCCGAACTTGGCTTCTTATCTTTCTTCTCGTCTCGGGGTTCGATTTTCGCCTTTTCCGCTTGTAAAAAATCGGCTTCCGCTTCCTCGACATTCATATATTTGGCGCACCTTCCCAAGACCTCATCAAATGACCTCCCAGGTCGCTTTGCCAAGGAGTTTCTGCACAACCCTGGGAGCAATCCTCTAGTGAGTCCTCCTGACTTGATCTCCTCGGTGGCTAAAGGTACGTCGACACACGCCCGCGTGTACCTCGCCACATAATCTCGCAATGATTCTCCCTCTTTCTGTTGCATGCCTATCAAAGTAAGGTAAGATTTTTCTTGAGCTTTCACACTTGCAAATTGGTTCAGAAAACTTGAGCTAAACCCGTCGAAGTCCCTGACGGCTCCCGTGGGCAGTTGATGGAACCAATCTTTTGCGGGTCCCCGTAGAGTCATTAAGAACGCTCGACAATGAACAGGGTCATTGTAACGACGCAACACTGCCATGTTCTCAAAACTCCTCAGATGTCGAGAGGGATCAGTCGACCCATCGTACCAAATGTTGAGCTCTCTAAACCCCTGGGGTAAGTCGGCATCTAGAATGTGTTGCGGGAAGGGGTGTCCTCTCGATCCCCCTGTCTTTTTTCCCTCGACTCGAGCTTGTAAATCGCGTACTTGAGCCATCAATTGCTCTAGAGTGTCGTTTCTAGCTTGTGGGTTGATGGTTCTAACAGAGGATTCTTCCTCGTCCACCCTTCTGGTCTGTCTTTCCTGGATTGTGCTTGTTGTTCCCGCTCGAGGGGCGGGTGCTCGATCCGAGGTTGCTCGACCCTGGGCTGCTCGACCTTGGGTTGCTCGACCCTGGGTTGCTCGACCCTGGGTTGTTCAACTTGATTTTGCTTGAGTTGGGCCGCCACTGCCTCGGCAATCATTTTTTGCATCTCGCCTCTCGTCATGGTCAGTGTCTGCTCCTCGACTTGGGGTGGTGGCCTCGCTCCTTGCTCAAAACGGCCCAGGCTGCCTT